CCACGATCTAAAGAAACACCTGAGAAATAAAGTCACTGACACATATCAGTCTGGAAAAGGTTACAAAGCCATGTCTAAGACTTTGGGACCGATGGTGCTCAGACTCTGCAGTTGTGGTTTTATTTGTGCTTGTTTGTTGCTATCTCCTCTGAAGAGAGGTCTGGTTAGCCACAGTAATTCACATTTTCCATCAAACAAGTAGAAGAAGTGAGACCAAAGTTTATTCATCCTGCAGAAAAAACAGGTCACTGCTGAGGTTGTAAGAGCATATTTAGTGAGAAGAACAATGAGAATGTATACAAATCTGTTTTACAATAAATGTCCTGAGCGTTGAGGACCAGCAGCTGGATTTGAGTGTTTTGGTCTGGTGGATTACTTCAGTGAGGAGTAGACAACATTTGGCTCTGGTAGAAACTCTGAAAATAAAAACACACACAGTTCAAACAGTATGAGACCAGTGAAAGGGAAATAATAATAATAATAAAAAATAAAATAATCCAGAAGTCATTTTTGGGATAGAATTTTCCTCCAGTTCAACAATTCTTCCCTGTTTTCCTGTTGTTCTTATACATTTTGAAAGCACCAATTTATTTGAACAAAAAAAGCATCAGCTGCTCCTCAACACCTGAATCATATCAAAGTTACATTAATGAAACTCAGCGCTTTCTTCATTAGTTTCATATTAAAGGCCTTGCAGTCAAACCTTTTAATGTGAAAGAAACCCACCAGGAAGTGTTAGGTATTTCATGTAAAGGAAGACAGTCTCAGCACGTTGTAGATTCATTTTACTTCAACATGAGGGAGAGTGATATATGTCAGAGTAGTTAAAGTTTGTTCTGGCTCACATCAAGTGAATAAATGATGTGAAAGGGAACACTGGTATGCACTCAGTGCACCTTCAATTATCATAATCCCATTGTTGCAGCTAAAATATAAAAAAAAACAATTTAATTTAAAAAATGAGTTAAATATAAGGAACATTATATAATATTTAACATTTTTCCAATGTAGTACTACAGGCATTAGATTTATTTTGCAGGTTTTGTTTTCAGATTGTGATTTATGTTTGTCTTGAGAGAAGTGGGATTGAAAGAGAAGTCCTGCCATCCAGCCATTGGCCCGG